ATAGATAAAGTCAAAAGGAGAGATGGTCAAATCTGAGGTGTCTGAGAGCACTAAATCTTTTTCACCTCTCATTAGAAAAAGTCATTTTATAATATTTAAAGCTGAAAAATAAAACAAGTATTATAAGCTTATTTCAAATATATTGGTAAATAACATAGAAACAAGCTTAAAAAGTTAAACGTGGCCAGGCATGGTGGCTCATGCTTGTAATCCTAGCACTTTGGGAGGCCTAGATGGGCGGATTGCCTGAGCTCAGAAGTTCAAGACCAGCCTGGACAACATGGTGAAGCCCATCTCTACTAAATTCCAAAAAAAAAAAAAAAGAGAGAGAGAGAAAAACGGGACATGTTGGCAGGCACCTGTAATCACAGCTACTCGGGAGGCTGAGACATGAGAATTGTTTGAATACAGAAGGCAGAGACTGCAGTGAGCCAAGACCGTGCCACTGCACTCCAGCCTGGGCAACAAAGTGAAACTCTGTCTCAAAAAAAAAAAAAAAAAAATGTTAAAGGTGATTGCCACTGGAAGCACAATTACAGATTTGAAAGAAATGTGTCAAGGTATTCCTGTCATTACAAAATTTATAGTGTTAATTTGACTTGTAATGTTTTATATATTTTTTTAACTTAGATACAAAATTTCAAAGTTAAAATTAAGTATTTATAAGACAGAGCACAGCACCTGGCACAAATTAGGAACACAATATATGATATCTACTATTACCAATAAGATTATAATTCTCTTACTAATCATTAAAGTCATTGATTACCTATTTCAAATAAAAGAGAAACATAAACCTACAAACCTAGAGAAGTTATTTCATGTGTCTAAGGTTGTGCAGTTGCTTAGTGATAGAACTACACTGGAGTTTCCCCGACTCCAACTTAGGAAATTTAACTCCAGGTTCTTTCAATCACATCATGGATGATTTAGAGAAAACCTTTGGGGTTATCTCTGGCTAGCAAGTATGGTTGCAAGCAGAGCTGAGCATTCATAGCCTAACCTAGAATCTGGCCTGATAGATTATGAATATATAATAAATAGACTGATAGAAAAATAATTTTAGGCAAGGTGTCAGCCTCACCTAGGATTCTGCCTCTTCATGATACTAGCTCACCACAACTCCTACCTTTTACTATTTATCTTCAAAAAGGACAAATCCAGGGTCTTAGGCAAAACCTAAAGGAAAGAGCTGCAGTGGAAGTTGCATGAAAATACTTTCAGTAGCTTAGTAATTGTGGAATCATCAACTTAATTCTGTTGTATACTTTAAACTTTTTAGAACGTTAGAGAAGTCTTTGTGCTGAATTTATGTGGGCCCCAGTCAAATGCAAAAGGTCATAGATTTTATGTAGTTTAACACATTTCTGTTAGAAATAAATGGGAAAACTGAAAATCATGGAGGAGAGTATAGATTGCCAACATTTAACAAACATTTATAAATTGCCTGATCAGGATCAATGGTCCTGGACCTACATGTATTATTCGAAATATGTTTAGGAGGCAGGAGTGTTAGGAAACTTGATAACAAGTGCAATTAAGATATTATAAACTGTGCATTTAAGTTTTCTATCTATGTTAGATGATAAACACTGTTGTGTGACAATAATCATATATCTTATTTTTCTGAGAAAATTATTTTAAAGCTTATATTTCATAGAAAAAAGTGCCACATCTTATAAAGAATCAAAGTTTTCTTATAATTTGAATATAGCACTGTTAGAGTTCTCCAACAGTAAATATGTGTGTGTGCATGCCTGTGTGCATGCCTGTGTGTGAGAGAGAGATTAATGTATTATAAGGATAATAAATTATAATTACGTAGTTACGGAGTCTGAGGATTCCCAAAATTTCATTTGGCAATCTGGATACCCAGGAAAGCCAGTGTGCAGATGTGTAGTTCCAGTCTGAAAGCCAGCAGTCTCAGAACACAAGAAAAGCTGATGTTTCAGTCTGAGACCAAAGGCCAGAAAAGACCCAGTGTCCCATTCAGGCAGAAGTTGGTTCCTCTTACTCAGCGTTTTCTATTTTACGCAGGTCTTCAACTGATTGGATGGGGCCCACCCACATTAGAGATGACAGTCTGCTAGTCAGTCTACTTTTTGAAATGTGAATCTTATCCAGAAATACCCTCATAGTCACTCCCAGAATAATGCTTGACCAAATGTCTAGGTACCCCACGGTCCAGTCAAGTTGACACATAAAATTCACCATCACAAGTACACAAAGGTACAAAGAACCAAAATTCTTGGAACCTAAATGTAGAATTGTATGAGAGAAGAGCAAGAAAAATTATTAGTGGACAGTCAGGGAAAATATGTGAATCATTTGAGCTTTAAAGACCACATTGAATTTAGATAAGAGTGAATTATCATAAATCTTTGAGCAAAAATTCAGACATTGTATTTAAGGGAAATTATAGTAGAACAAATATGATGGAAATAGCACATCAAGACCCTGAGAAGATTAAAAGAAACAATAAAATCAACAGAAGTTGGTGAATATATAATACAGTGAGAAAAAAATTGAATGTCATGGATAGCAATGAGAAATTGAGAATGGATTTATTTATAAGGTCAAAGATGTGGCATTTGAGGTGACATGTAATAGTGTACCTTTTAATTCTCAACCTCCTAATAAAGTATTACATACTTAAAATGTAAACATGAGTTTTAATATTTAAGGGAACTTTTTTACTATCAAAGTTGTTAGAAGTTAGTATTTTGTTTACTTTGACAAATAGTATCCCTGGGATACGAAACTCATCTGTAAGGAGGGCTGAGTTTTCATATATACAGGTCCCATGGGACTGAGTTCAGGACTTGAGTATTTTGATTGGGGGGTAGTAGATGACCCTATGTACTTTAGTATGTGTTACTTTAATTAGCTAATAAGATTGCTCTCTTCACTTCATAGTGAAGAGGAGGTCAGAGTTTTAGAGAGGTAACTTTGGAGTTTGGGACACATCCAGGATAGGCAGACCTTGGTACGGTAACATAGTGATACTTTCAGACCCAGAGACATACTACTAACTAGGCAGAGGTCCAAGGCAGACTAGGGAGTGGTAGCAATCCTAGTAAGGATATTATGTTGGTTGAGGTAAATTAGAAAATCAGGTAAATAAAGAACAAAGATAAACTTTTCCTACTATATATGACAGCATAACCGTTATATAAATTCCAGATCCTTACAGTAGCCATGTATTGGTTCTGGAAAAAAAAATAAAAATAGTGATTCCAAATGTCAAACTCTCCTATGTCTTTCATTTTCTATTTTCATACTTACCCTGGCTAATATGATTGTTAACTGATACTTTGGAAAATGTTATGAATAGAGATTATTTATATGTAGTGTTGATTAATTGGGAAAACTAGGGATATATATTTCTCTTGATCCTTTCTTAATATGAGTAAAGTTTCATATATCTATATAGTGCTTTTCAGATTTCAAATGATCACTATTCTTAAGAAAATAAAGTTGATATGTATGTGTCCAGACAAATGTATATATAACTTGTATTCTTCTCAACACTGATTGCATGTATTTTAGATTGTGATAGAAATGTTTTTATTTGAAAAAGCATGTGTACCTATATTTCCCTCACACTCTTCAATTTTTAGGAAAAATATGTTTATGCCTGCTAAAAACTTTTAGTTTCTGAGTAGATAACACCATTTTTAAAAACCTTCTCCCCACCTCAAGATTTTCTTTTTAAATGCTTCACAGTTAAATTTAAATTTCTATATTTAGATAGGATTGTGTTTATATACCAACCACAGTATCCAGGAAATTCAGTGGTAAAGCTGACACATAGCGAGTTTATAGTCTATTTTGTAGTCTGTGTATTTAGAGAAGGTTTGAAGCTTACTTAGCAAAATGGATTAAACATTCAAGCAGAATTTCTTTAGCACAAATGTACTATTTGATTTCATATATTTGTTGAGATAACAGTGTGTCGCTTTTTAAAGATTAGTTCTCAAGAATATGTGTTAGGTTTATCTTTTAAAAGAAGGATGCATTCAGGAACAGCTTTCACATGTAACTATTTTTATATTATTTCATATTGGATAGACTTGGTTTGGTGCAATCAGTATGATTTGATCAAATCTAGAAGAAGTTACAGGCACATTTTTACAGTGTTTTCGCTAGCATCTTTATTTTTTTCAGATGGACATATTTTATGTTGCTTCCAACTAATCAAAATAAGAAAGTGAGTTTGCCTGTGCCAGAAAAATAGAACTATCATTTTTCACATTCTTCTATTTTCTAGGACATTTTTAAGTAAGATTGTGTTTCTATGACTTACGAATTCCTGAAAAATCTTTACTTTGTAGATATAAGGGCCTAGATGAACATTTCAGGGGGAATCTAACTTTTCATGCAGTAATGTTTTGTGTTGTACATTCCAGATACAGTTAACTTTCTGTGTGGATGTGATTAGTATGGAAAGAAATTAATGCAGTCCAGTATTATGATTTATGGACTGAATCCTTTACCCACTGAAGACTTGCCAAAACTAAACGTATTTTTTTTCTTTGGATATTAGAAACAGCTACTGTTTTTGTTGATCTTTTAAAGTTCTGAATGGGCCCATTTCAAATCTTAGCAGCATGGGAGCTCAGATTAATAATATACTTATTCAACTAGTGATACTGAGTGAAACCATTGCTCACATGAGTATGAAGGATAAAATTTCATGAAATTATTTTCAGGTGCATTAATGCATTTTTGGAAGCTGTGTATGATTTTTCTTTTGCATGAAAGAAATAAAAGATTTCTGTTTATTGTATTGGTTACAGGTGGGCTCATAAGTTAATTTAATTGCATTTTTTATATCTTAAAGACATAAGACATTTAGCTCTTAAAAGCAGTAATGTGATTGCTGGATTATTCCCAAAGGTTTTTAACTCTTAGTATATTTATCTCTCTAGAGACATCATGACTATACTATACGTAATTTATATTACTGAGAAAAATTTCTAAATTTTCATTATTTTTAGTTACAGCAAGCTGCTGAAGTTTCTCAGCTGCGTGGAGCAAGAGTAATCACTCCTGAAGATCTTCTGTTTTTGATGCGCAAAGATAAGGTAATATAAAATAATTTATTGTATTAAAATCCAGGTGTTGTGTTTAATTGAACTTCTACGTGGACACTACATATCCTTGTTACATTGCTTTCGAATTAAAATCGTAACTATTGAACTGACATTTTAGTCCTCATGGTTTGCACAACAGAATGGATTTACAAAAGAATTGATATTTATTATGTGGACAAAAGCACTTATATAAAAACTGTGCTAACAGCGAACTTTCACTTTGTGTGTCTATGTAGACACTTTTCTTGCTACATGTCACTCACTAATTATTGATGCAATGTTCTGTTGTCGTAAATGGGATATAACTGAATGGTACATTTATTTTTCTTCTTTTTGTTGATTAACATTACCAGAATTATAGACACTCCTAGGGTAATTTTTAAAGCCTGAAATACAAAGTTTAGTCTGTGGTTCTAGCTTATTGGAAAAAGCAAATTAATTAAGATGAATTTTCAATGGAATAAATACGTACCGTAATTTCTGTTTTTTAACAAAGACCTCCCTTTCTTACTCTTTGAAATTTGGTATTAAAATTTGTGATATTTGTGTATCTAAGTTTGTCATAATTATTTTCCATGAGTAGGTAGTTGAAAATATTCTCTAATGTTTTACGTTTCAGTTAATCAGCTCTTAGATGATACGAAGAATATTTAAAAAATCGAAAATCTTCACTATTAAGAAAATTATGATCTGGTTTAGGGTATCTATATGATTTAGTTGAAGAGTCATTTTAAAAGTCAAAATTTCAAGGTTGTATGATGAGATGGAAAGGCTATAGGACTTTCTGAAGTGAAAGTTTCTGCCTAGGGTGAGGCAGTCGTGTGTCCAAGGCACAAGATGCGAAGAAACTATTGAAAGTATCAAATGATGTGCATGTAAAGAAGTTTGTATAATGTAGTATGTTTCAGCTATTAGAAGAAATTTTTTTTTTTTTTTTTTTTTTTAGACAGAGTTTCGCTCTTGTTACCCAGGCTGGAGTGCAATGGCGTGATCTTTGCTCACCGCAACCTCCGCCTCCTGGGTTCAGGCAATTCTCCTGCCTCAGCCTCCTGAATAGCTGGGATTACAGGCATGCGCCACCATGCCCAGCTAATGTTTTGTATTTTTAGTAGAGACGGGGTTTCACCATGTTGACCAGGATGGTCTCGATCTCTCGACCTCGTGATCCACCCGCCTCGGCCTCCCAAAGTGCTGGGATTACAGGCTTGAGCCACCGCGTCCAGCTTAGAAGAAATCTTAAACCTGAAGCTCAGGAATGAGTGATAATACCTTCTAGGTGGAAGCACACAATAAGCTACAAAGGATTATCAGTTACTTTTAGAATTCAGCAGTATTATGGTCTACTAAATCTAAAGAAGGCCATCATTAAGACCTAACTATCATTCATCAGCTTCAAATTTCATAAAAATACATTTGTCAGGTTACAGATTGTTTTCCATAAACATAATACGTAAACCAAATCTTCTAGCAAAAGGATAAGATTTCAGAGAATAAAAAACAATAAAAAGGAATTGCTTGGCTTTTAAAGCAACTATTACAAACTCACTGTCTAGGTATTTATAAGTTAATTTTTTTTTAAATTTCATCTTGAGTATATACAAAATTCTATAGCATAAGTACAGTCAGCTTAGTATGGAGACTGATAATGCAATCTGCAAAAAAATTTAAAACTTTTTTTTTTCTTTTTATGAGATGGAGTCTTGCTCTGTCACCAGGCTAGAGTGCTGTGGCGTGATCTCTGCTCACAGTAACCTTTGCCTCCTGGGTTCAAGTGATTCTCCTGCCTCAGCCTTCCGAGTAGTTGAGACCACAGGTGCATGCCACCATGCCCAGCAAATTTTTGTATTTTTGGTAGAAATGGAGTTTCACCATGTTCACCAGGATGGTTTCAATCTCCTGACCTTGTCAATGCCCACCTCAGCCTCCCAAAGTGCTGAGATTACAGGAGTAAGCCACTGCACCTGGCCTAAAACTTTTGGGAGGCCAGGGGCAGGTGGATCACCTGAGGTTGGGAGTTCGAGACCAGCCTGACCAACATGGAGAAACCCCATCTCTACTAAAAATACAAATATAAGCTGGGCGTGGTGGTGCATACCTGTAGTCCCAGCTACTGAGGAGGCTGAGGCAGGAGAATAGCTTAAACTCAGGAGGTGGAGGTTGTGGTGAGCTGAGATTGCACGATTACACTCTAGCCTGGGCAACAAGAGCAAAAACTACATCTCAAAACAAACAAAAAGGCAATTACAGTCAGGTACCATATGATGACCTTTTGGTTAACAATGTACTGCAAATACAGCAATAGTCCTGTAAGATTATAATGGAGCTGAAAATGTCCAATTATCTAGTGATATCATAGCCATCATAATATTGTAGTGCAAGGTATGATTCAAATTTGTGGTGATGCTGATGTATACCTGGTACACTGCTGATGGTACAAGTCTAGCACATAAAATGATGTGTAGTACATAATACTTGATAAAGATAATGACTGTTTCTTGTTTATGTATTTATAATCTGCATCATTATTTTAGAGTGTACTACTTTCATGAACACTTAACTGTAGACCACCTGAGGTTGTTCCTTCATGAGATATTTTTTAAAAAAGCAGTTATCAAGGGAGATGACAGTTCCATGCATGCTATTGCCCTTGAAGACCTTCCAGTGGGACAAGATGTGGAAGTGGAAGACAGTGATATTGGCAGTCCTGAACATGTGTAGGCCTAGGCGTGTGTGTGTGTGTGTGTCTTAGTTCTTAACAAAGAAGTTTAAAAAGCTAAAAGAAATTTTAGAGTAGAAAAAAGTTTATAGAATAAGGATATAAAGGGAAAACGTTTTCATGTAGCTGTATAAGGTGTTGTGTTTTAAGCTAAGTTATGAGTCAATTTTTTTTTAATTAAGTCTATAAAGTAAAATAGTTACAGTGAGCTAATAAGGAACATTTATTATTGAAGAAAGAAAAATTTTAAATATAGTGTAGCATGAGTGTACTGCTTTTTTAAAATAATGTCTGCAGTAGCATACAGTAATGTCCTAGGCCTTCAGGTTCTCTTGCCACTCATTGATGGACTCACCCAGAGCAACTTCAGGTCCTACAAGTTTCATTCATGGTATATGCCCTCTACACGTGTGTCATCTTTTATCATTTACATGGTATTTTAACTGTAATTTTTCTATATTTAGGTATGTTTAGATACACAAATACTTAACCATTTTCTTACCCTTGCCTACAGTATTCAATATGATAACATGCTGTACGGGTTTGTAGCCCCTGAAAGGTAGGCCACACGTTGCCTAGGTGTACATTAGGCTGCTCCATCTAGGTTTATGTAAGTGTATTCTGTGATACATTTCTTAGATCCCCAGCATGAAGCAACGCGTGACTATTGCGATTGTAAATATTTGTAAATGAAAAATGCTTTTTAAAAGACTTGTGTTGCACCCATTGTGTTTGATGACTACCTTTTTATCTCATAGCAAGTATGCTAAGCATTACTTTATTTTCTCTGATGTCATGGGGTACACGTTTATTAAATTTGGTTATAGTAGTCTTTTATCAGTAAAGTGAATATATGTATAGGTTTTCTTATTTATTTTATATTTTTAATAGAAAAAACTTAGAAGATTGCTAAAATACATGTTTATCCGAGACTACAAATCAAAGATTGTCAAAGGCATCGATGAGGATGATCTTCTCGAAGGTAACCAAAACAAAACACAAAACGAAAACATTAGCTTATGACCCATGTGTGCTAAATAACACATTTTTGCAATTCCAGTGTAGATATTCTTGAGAACTAATTAATGTTATTTGCTGTCAACAAATAAAGTGGAATACCCTTGCAAAAGTATATATTTCTGTATACTGTTACCTATTTGATACTACTACACTTCTCATGGAATGTAATTCTTGAAAAATAGTTCTGCAGATGAATTGAAATGCTTCTTTTTATGGAGCACATAATGAATACCATCTTAGAGCAAAACAGACTTGAATTCCAATCTTTTAAGTGTGTCAAAATACACGTAATGAGAGTATCAGATGAGAGAAAAAAGAGTAGAAAAGTATACAAAGAAATAATGGCTGAAAACTTCCCAAATTTAATGAAAACTACAAGTCTACTAATTCAAGCATATCAACAAGCTCCAATTAGGATAAACATAAAGAAGTCTGCACTAAGACACATTTACTGAAAATGTGGGAAGACAAAAACAGACAAAAAAATAATGAAAGTCACAAGAGAAAAGCATCTACAAGGGAACTCTGACAATATTGATGGCTGACTTTTCATCAACAATAGAGGTCAGAAGACAGTGGGGTGATATATTCAAAGTACTGAAAGAAAAAAACTGTCCTCCAAGAAACTTATATCCAGCAAAACTATCTTTTAAAAATGAATGCAAAATTCATTCCCAGATAAACATAAACCAGGATAATTTCTTGCTATCAGACCCATATAAGAAAAGTTTTTAAGGCTAAAAGCAAGCTGTACCAAATAATAATTTGAATCCACTCATTTATACAGATAATTAAGTACATAAATATGAGATAGTATAATAATCTATTTCCTTTCTTTATTAAAAACCAATTTATAGAACAGATGTATAAAAATATGTATGTAAAAATTGTGATGTTAGGTCTGCAATATTTGGAAATATATTTGAAAGTAACAACACAAATGATGTGAGTGGTAATAATGCTGTACTGGGGTAAGGAAATGGACTTCAAGTTACATAAAGAAATGAAAAGAACCAGAAGTGGCAAATAAAATGGTTAATATAACAAACTCTATAAATATATAGTTGGTCTGCTATAAAGACACAAATTACTGAAACTGAATCAAGAAGGAATAGAAAATCTGAGTAGGACAATAGCAGGAGGTTAAATTAATCATTTAAAAATTCCCACAAAGAAAAGCTCAGTCACAGATTTTTTCACTGTTGAATTCTACCAAATGTTTAAAGAAGCATACCAATTATTTCTCAACTAATTCTATAAAGGTAATAAAAACCAGGCAATGATACCACAGGAAAAGAAAACTGCAGACTGGTATCTTTTTTAATACAGATGCAAAAATCCTCAACAGAATGCCATTAAATAAATCATGACCAAATGGGATTTATCCTAGGGATGTAAGGTTGTTTTAAACTTAGAAAACAATTCATGTAATGCATCAAATTAACAGAATAAAGGACAAAAATCACATGATCACCTCAATAAATGTAGGAAAAGCATTTAACAAAATTCCAAAAGTCTTTAATGAGAGGAACATTCAGCAAACTAGGAGGAGAAGGAAACCTCTTTAACTTGATAAAGATTGCATGGACTGAATGTTTGTGTCCCTCCTCACTCTCTAAATATATATGTTGAGGCCTAATTCCTAGTGTGGTAGTATTCGTATATGAGAATTGTGGGACGTCTTAATAATTAGGTCATAAGGATGGAACCTTTATGATTAGGGCACTTCTGAGAAGAGATACAAGAAAGCTTCTTTCCTCTGTTTCTGCTGTCTACCATATGTGGATACAACAAGGTCATGGTCATCTGCAAGCCATGAAGCAAGCCTTCACCAGGTACTAAATCTGCTGGCACCTGGATCTTAGACTTCCCAACTTCCAGAACTGTGAGAAATAAATGTTGGTTGTTTAAGCCTCCTAGTTTGTGATGTATTTATTGTAGCAGCCTGAGCTAAGACAGATATACATGGAAAACCCACACCTAATATCATACTTAATGTTGAAAGACTCTATGCTTTCCCTTGCAAGATCAGGAAGAAGACAAAGATGTCCATTCATGCTACTTATATGGAATATTGTACGGAAGGTTTTGGCCGGTGCTTAGTCAGAAAGAGAAATGAAGGACATCAGATTAGAAAGAAAGAAAAGTAAAACTATCTCTGTTTACAGATGACATAATTTTGTATATGGGAAATTCTAAGAAATCCAATAAAAATTATTACAGCTAATAGACTAGTTTGATATGTTTTTTGGATATCAGAGAAATATGCAAAAATCAAGCATATTCTAATATATTAACAATGAACAACTCAAAAATGAAACTAAGAAAACAATGCCATTTACAGTAGCATCAAAAAGAACAAAATATTTTGGAATAAAATCACCATCACCAAAGACCTGCAAGATTTATGTACTGAAAACTACAAAATATTGTTGAAATAAGGTCTAGAGATGGTAATGCAAAGACATCCCATCCTGTGTTCATGAATTGGAACATTCAATATAATTAAAATGTTAATACTCTCCAAATTGGTCTACAGATTTCATCTGCTTTTTTGTAGAAATGAATATACTGATTCTACCAATCATATAGAAATGCCAGATTCTGACATGGAAATGACTGATCTAGGTTATGAGGGAACTAGAATAACTGGAACAATCTTAACAAAGAATAAAGTTGGAGGACTCATGCTTACTGATTTCAAAACTTACCATAAAGCTACAGTAATTAAGATAGAGCGGTATTGGCATAAGGATAAACATATTTGTCAGTGAAATAGAGTGGAATGAGAGTTCAGTAATAAGCCTTTATATTAGGGGTCAATTGATATTGACAAGGATTTCAACAGAGTTTGATAGGGAAAAAAAATAGCCATTTTGACAGATATTGCTGGGGGCAACTGGATATCCACATACAAAAGAAAGAATTTAGGTGCCTATAACAACACAGTAAACAAAGTTAAGTTAACTCAATATGTATCATAGACTTAAATATAAGAGCTCAAACTATAAAATTCTTAAAAAGAAATACATGAATAAATGTTGATGGCTTTGGAAGAAGCAAAGCATTCTGAACGTATGACACCAGAAGAACAAACAGCAAAAGAAAAAAAGTAGAAAAATTGGACTTGATCAATTTTAAAACTTTTATGTTTAAAAGAACAACATCAAGAAAGTAAAAAGACAAACCACAGAATAGGAGAAAATTTTTCTTATCATATATGTGATAAGGTACTTTTGTACAGAATATATAAAGAACGTGTACAACTCAACAATTAAAAGACAGGTAGCCCTATTTTAAAATAGGCAAAGTGTCTGAATAGACATTTCTATAAAGATCGGCTAATGGACTATAGACACTGAAAAAGATACTTAAAAATCAAGCTGGGCACAGTGGTTCATGCCTGTAATCCCAACACTTTAGGAGGCTGAGGCAGGTGCATCACTTGAGGTCAGGAGTTCAAGACCAGCCTGTCCAACATGGAACAACCCCATCTCTACTAAAAATACAAAAAATTAACCAGGGGTGGTGGTGCATGCATGTAATCCCACTTGCCTGGGAGGCCGAGGGAGTAGAATACCTTGAAACAGGAGGCAGAGGTTGTAGTGAGCCATAATTGTGCCACTGCACTCTAGCCTGGCCAACAGAGTGAGACTCCATCTCAAAAACAAACAAACAAAATTAGCCATCAGAGAAATGTAAATTAAAACCACATTGTTATAATACTCTATACCCACTAGGATGACTGTGATCAAAAGATAGAAACAAGGCTGAGTAGGGTGACTCATATTTATAATCCCAGTATTTTGGGAGGCTGAGGCAGGAGGATCACTTGAAGCCAAGATTTTGAGACCAGCCTGGGCAACAAAGCAAGACCCCATCTCTAGAAAAAAAAATTTTTTAATTAGCCAATCTTGGTGACATGCGCCTGTGGACCCAGCTACTCAGGAGGCTGAGGAAGGAAGATAACTTGAGCCCAGGAGTTTGAGGCTGCAGTATGCTGTGATTGCACCACTGCATTCTAGCCTGGCAACAAAGTGAGACCCCCATATCTTAAAAACAAACAAACAAGATAATAATAACAAGTGCTGTTCAGGACATGGAGAGCTAGAACCTTCTTATATTGTTAGTGAGAGTATAAAATGGTGCAGACAATTCAGAAAGCAGTTTGGAAGTTTCTCAAAAGGTTAAAGATAGATTTACCAACTGAACCAGCGGTTCCATTCCTAGCAAAAGAATAAAGAAAAATGAAAATATGTATTCACATAAGAATTTGTACATGAGTGTTAGCAGCATTATTTATGATACTAAAAATAGGAAATAGTCCAAATTTCTATCAATGGATGAATGAATAAATAGTAAGTATGGAATATTCATATAAAGGAATATTATTTGGCTATAAAAAGGAATCAAATACTGATATATGCTAAAACATGGATGAACCTTAAAAATATTAAGTTAAATGAAAGAAACTAATCACAAAGAGCACATATTTTATTCTATTTATATAAAATGTCTAGAATAGGCAAATCTAAAGAGATAGAATGTAGAGGAGTGGTTGCCTGGAGTTGGTGGAGGCAGGGATTGAGATAGGGAATCATTTAAAATCCCATTAAAAGTCTCCACTCAAACCTTTACCATTGACTACGTTACAGCTGAATCCCAACAAGCAGCAAAAGAAAGGGGGGAAAAACACTTAGGGTGAGGGGAGTAACACACCAACATAGATGAAACTAAGAAAGAGAGAACATAATATGTGCCAGTAAAATAGGTGGGACTAGAGGGCAGCTTAAATTTAAAACAGAAAGGAGAATAATAGTGGGATACAAATATAGCACAAAAGAGATTTTCTGGAGTTAACATACAGTACTTCACAACTAAATAATTTTTTTTTTCATAAAGTCACTCTTCGGACCTAATTAGGGAAGATAAAATGGCATAGTTACCTCAAAGCACATAGGAAAATATAAAGATATGAAAATTATGAGGGAAAAAGGTAAGAAACATAGAGGATAAATTTGGAGGAGTTTATGCATGCGATAGGGATTTCAGAAAGAGAAAAAAGGGGAGATGGTGGAGAGGCAATTATTAATAAATTATAGAGCTAAGAAAATCCAACACTGCAGAGTAAAAAGGTTGAGTAGATAAACACCTGGAATGTTTTAGTAAAACTTTTTATCTCAAAATAATGAGAGAATCTTATAAAAGCTCAGTCTCCTCTACCCCCAAAAAGTAATTATTAAATGAATTACATTATAATTGGACTTCTTAGAAGACACTAGCATAGTATTTATTGATTTATGTGAGGAAGGGACTGCAATCCAAGGACTTTATACCCAAGTAAGATAAGATCTATTGTGCTAAAGAAAGAAGTATGTTGAGTAGTTAATCTTGTTTGAACTCAGTATTTATCTCTAGTGATACAGTGTGTGAGAACATGCAATATAAGTGCTAAATCTCTTGAAATACTAATGAAATTCTGTTGGTACTCTAAAAATAATACCCCTTTTCATCAAAAGCCAAAAGTTTAGAGGTAGAAAGAGAAGGGGTGAAGTAAACATTTTTCACAGATCTGTTGGTAGGAAGCTGAGATAGGGAAAATGAAAGTGTTCTGAAGGTCTCTTGATACTGGAATGCAGGAAATATTAGAATAATATGTTACTGTATTGGGAAAATGTTACCTCTTGGTAGGGGTATAATTGATATCTTGTTTTAAATAATAATTTACACTTGTTTTAAATATCTTCAAGCAGTGTGTCAAAGCAGAAAACAGTGAGGTAAACATTAAAGAAAATGGAAGAGGATGATAAACATGAACAGAAAAGAATATTATAATTTCAAATTAACAAAAAGAAGAAATGGAAGGACTATCAACATGGCCAGACCATTAAAAGTAAAGAAAAGAAGAAAACAAGAATATGAAATAAATACCAAACATAAAGCAAGAGAAAATAATAAAAATCAAATATATCAGTCATTGCACTAATTATGAAATGGATTAAATCCTTACATTGAGACGGATTATAAACAACCACAAAAATAAAACTTGAAGATAAAGAAAGGTTATACATAATGGGATGAACAAATAAATAGTAGATAAACGCATACACAAGTGCAAAAAAGTAGAAGTGGCAATATTAGCATCATGCAAGGTGTAATTTAACATTAAAGCCCAAACAGGATAAAGAAGAATATGATATAATAACAAAAGGCACAGTTTTTAACGTAATAGACCCCATAAGCACTAAACAGTAAATCAACAAAGTACCAAGTTATGCTTAGACCTGTGTTTACTTGGAATAGCATGTCTTTGAATTTTTTCAGTATATCACAGAACATTTACAAAACTTAATTGTGAAATTGGCCATAAAGCGAATCTTTACAAATCTAAATAAGAGTAGATATCTAATAGGATCCCATTCCTTCTGTGTGAGTGGAGAGAAGTCATCTGAAACAAAAGTTAGAAAAGATGAACTTATTTGACAGTATAATTTCACTCTTGTTGCCCAAGTTGGAGTGCAATGGTGTGATCTCAGCTCACCGCAACCTCCGCCTCCTGGGTTCAAGCGATTCTCCTGCCTCAGGCTCCTGAGTCACTGGGATTATAGGCATGTGCCACCATGCCTGGCTAATTTAGTATTTTTATTAGAGAGGGAGTTTCTCCATGTTAGTCAGGCTGGTCTCAAACTCCCAATGTCAAGTGACCTGCCCACTTCGGCCTCCCAAAGTGCTGGGATTACAGATGTGAGCCACCACACCAACAGATTTTAATTTTTTTATGGCAAAAGATGCTTTAAAATTCATAGGCAAATGAAAGGCTAGGGTAAACATTTCTAACTCAGATAACAAAGGGGTAATATGAGTCCTTTAAATTGTTAAGAAAACGACAACCCAGTTGAAAATGGGCAGAGGGTAAAAATAGACAACAGAAAGGCTTTTTCAGATAGCTCACAAACATATGAGGAAAAATGTTTAGATTCATTAGGGAAATTAAATATTTTAATGATAGATCACTTTATATTCATTAGACTTTTCTCATGGAGAGAAAAGACATTCCTCATTACTCTTGGAAACTTGAAGGGTTAGTGCACTGGTAAACAATTTCTTAACTTCCATTAAAATTTAAAATGTTTGTACCTTTTAACTAAGTAGTTCCCTATGAATCTGTGTCATAAACATTAAGCCAGCCAGACAGAACGCCATATGGATGGGATGTTTATTATAGCATTTCCCCCACAGTAGCAAAACCCTGAAACAAAGTATATGCCTCTCAATAGGGGATTGTTTGGAAAACTGTGATACATATATACTGTAATATATTACTCAGCCATTAAGAAGGAATCAGAGCTATACCAGTTGATTTGGAAGGATTTTTCTCCCTAAGTGACGAAGAAACACAAAGTGAAAGAAAAGAAAGAAATAGAAGGAATATTCTAAGAACCCCTTTCTAAAAAGTATAAATAAATAAAACAGCTCTACAAATGAATGTATTTTTATGGATATGTGAGCATGGAGAATACATATTGGGTGGTGTTAATATGAGTTACAAGATCTTGAGTTGGAGGTTGGCTGATCATATAAAAGGGCAGGAAATGGGAAAGAGTAATCAAGCAAAAATGATATGTGATACCATTTTAATACATTTTAGTTTATAGATATAAAAACTTTTTGAAGTAAAAATTTAAAAGAAATGATAAAAATGAATAAAAATAATCTGTGGACCTGAGAATAATATGGATTCTAATATGCATAGAGGTATTAATATGCTTAGAGTTATATATTTTTTAAATCTATAAACTTAAGTTGTCAAATTTTGAAAAATATATTCAGACAGCTCACAGTGATTGTGCCTTTTATTAAGATTTCCTTTGTGTTACTTATTTTACTGTTATTTTGGTACATAAAAGTTTATGGCTGTTTAATACTCCTTTTATTATTAGATACTATTTCACCCTGTCTCCCTTAGTATTTTTGGTCTTGAGCTGTATTTTCTAATGTTAATGTTACCAGTTCTGCTTTCTTTGCTCATATTTGCCTAGCATATTTTTACTCATCATCTTTTTGGATTGTCATTTTGTTTTAGAGGTGTCTGTTATAAATACCATATAGCAGTATTATTTTTCCAAATCTGCGAGCACACTCTCTTTTTATAAGGGATTTTAGTTAGCCCTTTCACACTTACTTTAGTAATTTATCATTTGATTTTATTCTGTCAGTGTCATTTGTGACACGAATAAGTGATTTAATTCTGTACAACTTACACTTTCATTTTTGATGCAAGAATTTTTTTATAGATTCTTAGAGAATTCCAATTCTGAATTATTTATACTATATTTAATATATGTAATGATTAGTGCTGATATAAACCTAATGAGAACATTTCTTTTTTTTCCCCCTTGACTTCATGAAGACAAATTGAGTGGCAGCAACAATGCAAACAAAAGACAAAAAATTGCTCAGGACTTCCTCAACTCTATTGACCAGACAGGAGAACTTTTAGCAATGTTTGAAGATGACGAAATTGATGAAGTTAAACAAGAAAGAATGGAGGTATAGTACATTCTTCCCTTTTTACAGTGACTATGCTATTTGGTTCTATTCTCATGTTCTTTAAATATTACCTGAAATCTCTAAATCAGTGGTTTTATGTCTGATGGCAGTAATGTGCAGAGGATCAACCCCTGAAGAGAGAGTCAGACTTTGCCTTCAATGTCAACTTTGTTCTTGTTTCTTTTTTTGAAAATGAGTAGGTTTCCCTACTCTGGGTCTAACATTTACTGGTTTTATTTTATTAAGCTAATTTCTAATTAAATATTTATCATTTTTGTTTCAAATTATCCAGTTTTATTTGTAAACAAAACAATTCTTACGGCTTTTATGTTGTCATATATAGTGTGAAGAGCTGTTCTTGTCGCTATAGTTGCAGGCTGTGGTTGGACTTACTAGCTATGTAGTAACCGGGGCAATTACATTCTTTATATCACTGCAAGACAAAATTAGTGACATGTGTTTGGATTTCCTGGATGTGTCTTAACAATGAATTTCAAAATTGTATGTCTTCTATTTACCTTAGCTATCTATACATAAAATTATTTTCTTTAAATGCTAAAGGAAAAATTTAAAGTAAAATGATTTATTTCATTTTAGTACCTTCCAAATTACAAGGCAGTATTTTCATATTGCTATTATACTTTCATATTGCTATTATTATACAGTTCATATTGCTATTATTATACTTTCACGTGAAAGGAATCCCCATTTTCCCCTTCTCTTTCAATTGGGCAAGAGAGGTAGTCTCAGAATTACAAAAGATTGTGCTAAATGCCAACTTTATTATAGTTTCTATGCATGCTGAAAATGTAATTATTTTATGTTAAACTTTGGAAGAGGTCCAGTAGACATACATGCTTTATAAACTTAAACAACCTTTAAAGAATTAGCATGCTTAGATCATGAACTGTGATCTAAAGGGAGTGTTCTTTTAGGTATCAATTACTTTGGAAATGTGTGGTTATCTTGGTTTGGGACAACTGCAAATGGTTTTAGTTCAACTTTGCCTTGGGCCAAAAACATGCTAAGTTGTCCAAAGCAGATGATAAACATGTATTTCTGATGTCATCGTTGCCCAAACAGGATATGGTTGTTTAGTGGCATGGTTTCACTTACGATGCATTACACAAAGAGCAAATATTGTTTATGCTTTATTTTCTAAATATTTTTATGTTATAAAAATGGGCACTGAGAAAAATTCATTAAGGAATAAAGCATAATACATAAAGCATTAGTAAAATTGAACAGGTAACTTTTCAATTTTGATAGGAAAAATCTTGGTTAGCCAAACCTGTTGCCTAGAAGGGCATTCCGCAATCAAGAAGAGAAGAAATGAACATTTTGTAGCTCTATAATAGCAGGCTATTGTAGACCTAGAAAAATGGTGGTCAGCAGGTTATTAAAGTCAGTAAAATATCTGGAGATGCAGGGTAGAAAAAGCTTGGGCACTTATGCAGTCTGTATACTTCTTCTTTATAGTTATGTATTACATAGTGGTATCCAGGATAATAAAATACCAGAAGTTGATAAAAATATTTACAATGAAAGTCTTCATATGTGCAATAAACATGAGGCTGGCAACTTCACTAAGCTTTATATCATAACAAAAATCTTCTCTGGCCAATATAACAGAGCAGCTTTTATATTCTACTCATCCAGATAACAAAGTTTAACTGAAGAAATTATTCTGAACTCGTAGACATAACTGTATAGACAGTAGATAGTGGAACTGTTCAGAGCATAGGCCTTGCCTGCTTCTAATTTGATAGGTTATAGTTTCAAGAGTAACCACAACTGTGGCAGTTCATATGAAACCACTTTGGACTCAGAGACTGCAATCTCTTGCTTTTAAAGTTTAGTAGAATAATCAGTCGTGGCATCATTCAGTGACTTAGTTTTTCTCTAAGCATCACTTATAGTTGCAGAAACTTGATTTACTACCTTCCCCCTAGAATGTATGAAAGTAATATAGACCTACCAACAGACTTAATTTTAGTTTTCTTCTTTATAGATATAAAAACTCAGTATTCTAGTTGTTTCTCAAAGCACTGAGCAAGCATACAAAAAAACAGCCTGAATTCTTTCCTATTGTTTTCAACTGATGTATGTGTGCTTGGCTTTATGTTTCATCTCTAATTTACTTCATTATCATTAATTTATGTGACTTGAAATATGAAATTTCCAAATTTTTACATCCATTTTGCCTTACAAGTCCGTCATCATGATAGTTAACTAACTCTTACCCATTTATTTTTCTCTAGCACCAGATTTTAGCACTTGGGTATACCTGTAGTAGAGATCCTTTATCTCAGAACATCCTTTTAAATTATCAAATAAAAATTAAATAATGTTTAGAGTTATTTTAGCATATTTGAGGGACTGAGAAAGAAAAGCAGGGAAATGCATACAGCTATAGCTTCCTTCCAACCCTATCCACCTCCATTCCAAAATAAGGCATAAGGCAGGTGTGTCTTAGTGTAGCTAATGTTTCTTTCATTCTAATTTTTTGAGCTAATCATATAATTTGTGGCTGTGTCAACCAAAGACCAAGGTACAGTCACTAAAAGCTTCAAATAGCTTTGGGTTTTCTTATCAGTGAGGAACTGTGATCACTCACAGAAGAACCCTGCCTAAGAACCTGCTTTGCTGCTTGTAGAAGAACCTGTGAAGCTCAAGTTTGTTATTAATCAAGTAAACTATGTCATCTGGTAAGCCACTAAGTTTGTAAAAAGATGTAAACAATGGATGCTTAAAAAGTTGAGAGAACTCTACCTTCAGACTAATCCTCAAACTGATAAAAGTAAACAAGAGTGCAAGGACTAGAGCTTACCAGAGAGTGCAGCTTTTAAACAGATTGGGGTGCAGAAAATCCCTAGTGACTTTCTATCTTGTGTTTGCATATCAGAGTCTTAATACTGGAATCTAGAGAGAAAGCAGAGTGATTTACATAACATTTAAGGCAGCTTAAAATTTTTTGATAATAAGCTTTAAATTGACTACGATGCCAGGTGGTCATTGAATTTGCTTAACCTGAAATGAGCTGGCCATAAATTTAAAAACATGCAGTTTCTTGCAAAGGCTGAATGATAAGAGAAATCAGGTGTGTAATTCAGTTGTGCCCAAGTGCATCATGGTTATCGTTCCTGGGGATTTTGAGTCCCAGGGTTATAGTTTTTGGGGGTAAGTGGACTAGAAAACTCATTGAAGAAGAGAGAGGTGGATGCCTGTAGAAGTTGTCTGTCTTCTCCTGTTTTTGAAGTCTTTCTTCTATTCCCATTTCTACCTATCATGATTTATTTTAATTATAAGGGAAAGGAAAATAAAATGCCCAGAAAGATAACAGTCCAAAAATATCTTAGATAAGGCTTAACATAAAAGAAAAAGGCTAATCCCAGTAAGATAAACATTCACAAATACCAGAAAAGTTTAAAAGGTTGAGTTAAAAACTGAAACTCTTAAAAATGTTAGAATATATGGGATTATGAAATGAAGATAGAATTATATACTAGAAATATATATATGTACATAATAAATACAGACGTGTATACATTTATATATGCAAATTCATTTATATGCATATACACACTACGCCCAAATATACATATATAGAAATAGAAATTTATTTTTTCTAGATTATTTAAAAGGTAAAAGTTAAAGAACCATCAGAGATATATCATACAAACTTAAATACTGGTGGTTACAATATTAATTTCAGAGAAAAGAGAATTTAAGGTGAGAAGCTTTAAAACGGAATAAAGGCAATAATTTTATGTTACTAAAAAATACTGCCTATACTTAAAATATAGTAGATGCAAACTGTTGATCATCAAATTCCAGAGCATTGAAAGCATCTGGTAGTGTGGGGAGAGATCAGAGAAATACATTTGTTATGGAGACTAGAACACACCATCTCAATTCTTAACTGATTAATTCAAGGGAAAAATATTTTAATAAATACCTAAGTTTATCTAATAGATGCATATGTAATGTTTTATGAATGAGCAGCAGTCTTAAAATCTTACCCAGGTAACTTCAAGGACTCCATGGTCTCTTTAGGGAAGAGAGAAGAGGTTTTGGTGGGGCTCTAGCCTCCATCTGCCCTCACACCTTCAACCAGCACATCTTCAATTTTATGTAATGGCTGTACGTATCATCAATGAAGACAGTGACTCACTATAGTTGTAGTCCCAGCTGTTCAGGAGGCTGAGGCATTTGAGCCTAGGAGTTCAAGTCCAATCTGGGCAACATAGCAAGACCATGTCTGTTGAAAACAGGAAAAATGAACCACTATTCAGCCATCCATGAGGAATCAACCTATATCTTTGTCTCTTTCTCTCACACCCACCTTCACTCTCACTCTCCTTCTTTCTGTCACTTTCTCTCACACACATATAGTCAGCAAAATCCAGAAATTTATAGGGCATACTACTTTATCAGAATAGAAAGAAAACCTAGAAAGTAATAACGGATGTTAAACTAACAAACAAAACCAGTTAAGATGGCAAATTCGAAAGGGAAAAAAATCAAAGAGGCAAGTAATGAACTGAAAACGAATTTAGCAGTACTATCACAGACTATTGAGATAGTAACAATGAGAAGAGTCCATATAAAATTAAACAAGTATAGACAAAGCTTTGTTAAAAAGAAGCAGCGTTTTCGCTTTTAAACCTTTCATTATTAAATCAGAGAAAATGAAAATCAAGCATTCAGCTAAAGCATATAAATATTATAATAAAATAGAGAAGACAGGACAAATGAAAATACAAAGATAAATAGAAATAAAAAGAAAACATAATTAAATTTATCAACTTAAGAAATTCTTTGCAAATATAAGAACAAAGTGGTAGAATGAATTTGTGTCGCCTCTAAATAAGAGAAATAAAAATTAATAGGTTGGTGCAAAAGAATTGCCATTTTTGCCATTAAAAAATTTAATTCTAGAATGCCCACTGTTACCAGTTCTATTTGCCAGAGTTTAAGAAGCACTACGTAGTGCAATA